CCCCTGGAATCAGAGAGTTGTCAGCTGCCACGTGGGTGCTGGGAACCAAACTCTGGTCCTCTGCAAGAGCAGCCAGCGCTCTTAACCGCTGCACCATCACTCCATCCCCCACACATACTATTTTAATAATAGTTTTAAAAATTAAAATAGAATGCCATTATGTGTGTGTGTGTGTGTGTGTGTGTGTGTGTGTGTGTGTGTGTGTGTGCATCCATCTGTGGAGACCAGAGACTGACTTTGGCTGTTTTCCTCTATCACTTTCCACTCTCCACCTTTATTTTTTGAGGGAGAGGGTCTCACTATGTAGCTCCGGCTGGTCTTGCTACATACAATAGACCAGGCTGGCCTTGAACTCACAGAGATCCACCTGCTTTTGCCTTCTGCTGACACCACTATGCAGGGCTCTACCTTCCACTATGTAGGGCTCTACCTTATTTTATTTTATTTTTTGGTGAACCTGCAATCCACTGATTTGGCTAGACTGGCTGACCAGGGAGCTCCAGGAATCCCATCTTGCCTTCCTATCATGCCAAGATTACAGGTGCTTGCTGCCATACACAGCTTTTTACCTGGCTCCTGGGGGGTCTAAACTCAGGTCCTCATGCTTGTGTGGCAAGCACTTTTTCTAAGCCATCTTCCCAGCTTTTTGATGGTTTTGTGAGACAATTGTTTTAACTAAAGACTCAAGCAAAAGGCAAAATAAAATGGTAAAAGAGTCAAACCTGCGCGTGCCTTTGTTTACATATATGCATGTAACAGGTTTACATATATGCATGCATATAACATGTATATACAGATATACATGTTAGGATCTCCATATGAAGAATAATATGCATTTTTTTTGTCTTCCTGAGATTGGGTGACCTCTCCCTAAAAGAATACCTTCTGGGTCCATCAATTTTTGTGCAAATGTGGGTACACTATAACATTTAGAAAGGAGAACAAGAGAAATTTAAAAAGGCAAATGAATGGGGTTATATATACGGTGAGTCCTTTGAATCCTTTCTCAAGATATAACACAGTTTTAATGTAAAATAAGTCCTAAAATGGGCAGTATTCACATGTAATTCCACCAGAGGCTGTTACCTTATAGGGAAATCTGATTTTTAAAATTATGTTTTTAAAAGTTCTTTGAATACTTCTGTATGCTATAGTTATTTTGTAAGTACTAATAAACTTTAGTATTTATTTATTTATTTATTTATTTATTTTTGGTCTTTTTGAGACAGGGTCTCCCTGTAGCCCCAGCTGTCCTGGAACTCACTATGTAGACCAGGCTGGCCTTGAACTCACAGAGATCCGCCTGCCTCTGCCAAACGAGTGCCAGGATTAAAGGTGTGCGCCACCATGCTCGGCCCTATAAACTTTAATTTTTTTAAAAAAGTATAAAATTATTTCAAACTCTTGATGCCTCATATCAAACTTTTAGAAATGGAGTCCCTGGCTAGTCTAGAATTTTATTCCTCTTTTAGGAATCCACATACCTACTCCCCTAGGAAACCTTCCATAATCCTTAATCCTGAAGCTAAAACTCAGGCATATCACACTGATATTTTCTCTAAACTCAGAGGTCTTGCAGCTTGAAGAAAATAAGAAGGAGCATTTCACAGACAAACAGATATATTTGAAATGTGAGCTTTTAAATTATACTGTAGGTAACCTAAGATTTTATAGATTGCTTAACCAATTCTGGGAAAGCAGACTGCATTTCATTTCAAAAACTGAAATTGAGGTGCTAGAGAGATGGTTCAGTAGTTAAGAGCACTGGTTGCTCTTGCAGAGGACCCAGGCTCAAATCCCAGCAACCACATGGCAGCTAACAACTGTCCTTAACTCCAATTCCAGGGTATCTGACACACTCTTCTGACCTCTGTAGGCATTGCATGACACAGGTGCATTTATACACATGCAGGCAATACACTCATACACATAAAATAAAAATAAAAAATATAAAAAAACCCTGAAAATGAAATATGCACATGAAAATATGAAGACTGCAGCATATAAGAATCCACCAGTCCAGAAGCTGGAGAGATGGCTCAGCTCACTTAAGAGCACTGTCTGCTCTTCCAGAGGATCCAGGTTTGATTCTTAACACCCAAATTGCAGCTAACAACCATCCATAATTACAGTTCCAGGGGATTCAACAACCTCTTCTGGCCTCCACAGGCACTGCACACATGAGTGCACTTACATGCAGGCAAAACACTCATACACATAAAATAAAAATAAATAAAATTTTTAAAAATTAAAAATAATCCATCAGCCTATTAACCCTAATTTATTGCTTTTCTTTTCTTTTTTTTTTTTGAGACAGGGTCTCCCTGTAGCCCCAGCTGTCCTGGATTCACTATGGAGACCAGGCTGGCCTCGAACTCACAGAGATCCACCTACCTCTGCCTCCTGAGTGCTGGGATTAAAGGCGTGCGCTACTACGCCCGGCATTTATTGCTTTTATACTTAGGAAATGCTATAAATATGAGGAAGTTATAAAATTCTTCATGTATATTTCCTATACTGATTCTTTTTATTTTTTTTTTTAAGGAAAATTCTGTTTAGGAAGGCGTTCTTTTAAGTATGAGGCTGGGGTGTAGATCACTGATAGAGTGTTTGCTTAGGGGAGTCAAGACCCTGCCATTGATCTCTAGCACTGTTAGAAAAAAAGGTTAGGATCATCTACCTCGATTCTAGAGAAGAACCAAGGCATGTGCCATGGAGATTTGACCAGATGAGAGCATACTGAGGTGAGCTGCTGCCATTTCACAGTTGCACACACTTCATGAAAAATCAAATCACAGACTCTTGAGTCAACAGTTGTGCTGGATAGTTTTGGTGTCAACTCAACACACCTGGGTTGAGGGAGCCTCAACTGGGGAACTGCCTCTATTGGACTAGCCTGTGGCCATGTCTGAGGTTTATCTTCTTGATGAGTGATGTAGGAGGGCCCAGCCCACTGTGGGTAGTGCCACCCTGGGCAGGTAGGCCTGTGTTGCATAAGAAAGCAGGCTGAGCAGGGGCCAGGAGAGCAAGCCAGTAAGCAGCGATCCTCCATGGCCTGTGCTCCAGCTCCTGCTTCCAGGTTCCTGCCCTGAGTTCCTACCTTGGGCTCCCTGATGAATTGTGACCTGGGAGATGTAAGCTGAATAAACCCTTTCCTCCCCAAGTTGGTAGTGGTCAGAGTATTTTTTCACAGCAATGAAGAAACAAATGAGGGCAAGAGTAAAATCTATCCTATTTATTTTATTATTATTTCTTTGAAACAGGGTCTTCCTATAGCCCCAGCTGGTCTGGAACTTTCTATGTAGACCAGGCTGGCCTCAATCTTACAGAGGTCCACCTGCCTCTACCTCCTGAGAGCTGGGATTAAAGGCATGCACCACCATGCTCAGCAGAAAATCTTTCTAATAAACACTTATATTTCATTTAAATCAATGTTCTCTATAAGCAATGTTTTTACAATTATACTAAATACGAGTTCAAGGTTCAGAACTGTCACTCTTATTCTTGGCTCCAAGGAAGGTCAGATATATAGTTTATCTTTGTCTTTGCTCAAATTCCTATCTGTAGAATGAAGGAGTCAAATGCTCTCAGGAAAAATTTACACCAGAAAAACACAGACACTGACATACACGTGTGCACAGAGAGACACACATATGTGAGTACACACACAGTTACACAAAGAAATATCCTAATATTTGGGTAGTGCTTGGAAAACATTTTTAGTACTCTGGTATTTAATGTCATTTTATGAGACCACATACAAGGTGATTCGGATATCCAGTTAGAGTTATTTAGCTATTCAAATTCAGAGGCATTCCATAAATGTCCACTGTGACGGCCACAAATTCCATAGAGAGAAAGGAAGAAACAGAAATAAGGCAGCACCACCCTTTAAAACCACATGAGTAAAGGATACTCTTCAGAATTTCGGATGTCAACCACCAGGAGCTTTGGCTTGCTGGACTTCGTTTTCTTGGTGGGTGTTTTGAAGTGGCCTGTCACCGTGAGCTCACACAATTCAATCAGGTCCTCTGCTGAAATCCGGGGTGACAGTTCTGATTTTAGGTCATTTAATGGGATGGATTCTCTTGACTGAAAAAAAATATACAAGGAACAAAAACATTGAGAATATTATTGACAATGATCACCAGTTTATAAAGCCTTTGGTGCAGCATATGGTGAAGAGGACTCTTATTTTGGCAGTGTCATGTTTAACTGTCCTTACTAGCGAGGTTTACTTCTTTATTATATCTGCATGAAAACTTTTTAAATCTTAATTTTATTTTCTTTAGGGCAAACTCCTGGATCAAATGTATAGAAAGATTCAAGGCAGATATTTCCTTGTGACAGTACTGTGTATCTTTAAAAATCAGCTCTTTTAATCACCTTATTTATTTCTTTTATTAATTTTGTGTGCATACATGTGCAGGCATGTGCATGCCATGGTGACTCTGTGGAGGTCAGAGGACAACTCTCTTTAATTGATTCTCTCCTGTCACCTTGTGGGATCTGGGAATCAAATTCATCATCAGGCCTGCAAGTAAGCACCTCTACTCAGAAGCCATATTGGCAGCCCCATATTTCACTTTCCCAACTGCTGTTCTTGTGAATTCCATTAATTACAACACTGGTAACACAAAAAAACTTCATTGTAACTCGGTGTATACACTAATTAAAGAAATTAGTTTAATATATGTTTCAGACTCATAATTTATGTTAAAAATAAATGGTTGAGTGAAGTCAGATTTTTCAGGAATGAATAAAGAAAAACCTAAAATTGCCTTGGGAAATTAAACTGATAATGTGTCTTAAATGTGAAGTAAGAAAGACCAGATTTCAGATTGTCAAGCTAGGACAATGGTCTGAGTTTGCATTTGTTATATGGCATATGGCTGATTCAGACTAAGGATATTAGCAACTCTTCTGTATGTTATTTAGTACCCTTCCCACCTACACACAATAGATAGTGCAATAAATTCCATGCAACAAAAACATATTGAGCACTACTAGTGATTACTGAACACTCAGGTGACATAACTTTGGAATTTTCAAGGGCCGAGGTTGTAGCTCAGTGGAAAAGATCTTCGTGAGGCCCTAGGTTCAATGACCAGAGTGAAAGAACAAAAAGCTTTCAAAATCTACTTGATTAATAATGAGGCGATTCAAAGGGACATTACTGTTTATATGCTCACTGTGTTGTCTACAAATTTAGTATTTCTAGGAAGGAGAAATAAGCCAAATGGAATCATTTGCCAGACTTGTTTTGGAAAAAAAAAAAAAAAAAACCGAAAAAAAAAATGTTTTCAACTGGAGTTTGATGTCAGCTCTCTTCTCTTGGTTCTCTCTGACTGTGCCTTGAAGTCTTTAGTAGCAAAGCACTGTTCACTCCATTAACTTTTAAATAGAAATGGAAATTGCTAAGCTTTATGAGTTTAAGACTTTTAATAAAAATGGGCACAAAGAATTTTAATTTTTTAATATTAGGAATTAAAGCTTCTTAGACATTCTGAAATTAAAAGTGCTTAAGAAAGATTAAGGAGTTTTAAGATCAGCCAGCCATACAATCAGAGCTTCCATCTCCGTTTTTTATTAGACTGCAAACTTTATAGGTATTTACAGTCTTCACATGAAGTTATGCATCTTTGGAGATGAAATAAAGGACTTTTGATTAGCCTAGTTTTGCTTGTAGTCACTTAGTGAAGAATGTAGGCACTTTGAATTGAAGTTTCATTGCGTGAAAGGAGTGCTTTGGTTGACGAGGAAGAGTATTTTCCAGAAGTATTCTCTGTAAAGAATTGAGCGATTTAAAGAATGACCTGAGCACTGTTCCAGTCAATTATGTTTGTAAGAAATTTTCAGGAAAGAGCATTGCTGAAGAAACTGTTAAGAACAGAAGGAGAATCACTGACAAATTCTAACTTTCTAAACTTCTCAGAATGTATAGAAGTAAAGAACTTAATTTGATACATGTAAATGCCACTGTAGATTAATTTAGAAGATTAATAAAGTAGGCTTAGGACAATTTATACTACTATCAGAAGAGAATAATGATAATATTGTGAAATACATAGTTTAGCAGAAATTTTATGATAACTAGTAAACACTAAAGGGCATAAAATGCTCCCTCCAATCTCTGATTTAGTATCAGGACAGTAGCATTTTCTTGGGTGACTGGAGTTTCCAATTCAGAGGCTTTTGTTTATAGACAATGGGTGGGAATTTAGAAGAACCAGAGAACAGCTCTGGATGTGTTGACTAACTTAGCACTCTGTCCAAGCCTATATATAAAATTTCCTAGTGTTTTGTCCCAAGAAACTGTCTATTTGTTTAACAGGATGTGGGCCTAAAGAAAACAGAATTTTCTTTATTTACTATTTCCATATCTGAATTATTAACCATTAAAATATTTTTTTCTGTTTAATTTTTTGTGTGTATATGTGTGTGCATTTGGATGCATGATTGTGTGGGGACATGTGTGCAGGTGTATGTGAACATGTGTTTATGGGGGCCAGAAGCCAACCTTGGGCATCATTCACAGCAGGCACTCATCTTGTTGTTGAGACAGGGCTCTCACTGGCCTGGAGATTGCTGAGTATACTATGCTGGCTGGCCAGTGAGTTCTAGGAATTCATCCATCTCTGCTACATCACCACATGTGGCTATTTTAGGTAGACTTGGGTCCTCATGTATGTGTGGTAGGCACTTCATGGACTAAGCTATCTCCCTAGCCCTTTTCTTCATTTTGTAATATGCTATTGCTAGCTACTCAAGATTGGATTTGACCTTATGATCCTGCTGCCTCAAGCTTCAGAGTGTTGAGCTTATATCACCATGTCCAAGAGACACTGAGCTTAGAGAATAAAAATTCAAACATTTGAATCTGAGAATTAAAAAAAAAATACTGTTTTGCTTACTAAGTCAGAATTTTTTAGCAGTTTATTGATGAAAATCCTTCAGTAGTATAGGCCTTACAAATTGGCTACCTGCATGGATTTGTGATCATTTCAAGTATCCCAAAATTTGAATGAGGTAATGAGTTGGGCATCCGCTCTTTCCCAGCATAGTATTCTGCCTGAAGCAGTTCTGCCAGAAGTACTGGGAAAGGGTCTGGCTTCAACTTCTAAAGCATTAGGCCTGTCTTTAGGAGCTTATGCTCTTGAAAGCTTCTCATTTACAAAATTTTTCACTTTTTTAAGGCCTGGTATGAATGAAACAGGACTTTTACAAATGATCCTTCTTTTTTTTTTTTTGAGACAGGGTCTCCTTGCAGCCCCAACTGGCCTGGAACTCACTTATGTAGACCAGGCTGGCCTTGATCTCACAGAGATCTGCTTGCCTCTCCCTCCTGAGTGCTGGAATTAAAGGCAGGTGCCACCATGCCTGGCCAAGGATCCTATTTTTATTTGAAATATTTCCAAAAAGTTAAATCCACAAGTATCGACTAATCCCTCAGGTTTATAGTCCTTGCTACAATCAGTGACACACCAGCATGAGTGTCCTGAAATCAGTGCTGCAGACGTGCTCTCTATCTCTCATGGTCCAGCAAAGAGTAAGGAAGCAGCTACTCTGGAAAATTGGGTAAATTAATGAAAGTAATGGAAGAAAGGGGGGCCCTATGAGAGCTGTTTAGAAAAACAGGTCAGGGGAACACAAGCAAATGACAACTCTTAAGTTTTAAACACGTGATTCGGGGGGAGAAACATTCAGATTTCAACATGTGGAGCTGAAATTCAGAGTCTACCATGCTGAAGTATCAAGAATATAGTCAGAGATAGAAACAAGCATTTTGGAGAAGTCACAGCTGGAGAATCACATAAGGAACCATCAGCATAGAATTGCAGTCAAATTCATAAGAAAAGGTAAACTAATTAAAAACAAAGAAAAATTGGCAAAAATATTGATTTTGGCAGGCACAGTTACATTGCTGAGACAAACATCTTTTATAGTGTTAATAAGGCTTGAGCAAACATGGAGTAGGGATGTTTTTTAGAAAAATATCAATTCTTATTTTTCTCTATGTCATCATTAAGTAGGCTGCTTTCTGAGTGCTTGATATTTCAAACGCATGTGTGATGAAGTACAGCCTTTTGTAAATGGACAGACACATGCTAGCTATTATTCTCAAAGATAAGAAAATAAGCAACCTTTAAAAACATCACTGTAACCAGGTGTGGTGGCCCATACCTTTAATTACAGCAGGAGTAGAGGCTGGTGGATCTCTGTGAGATTAAGGCCAGCCTGGTCTACATAGTGAGTTCCAGGTCAGATAGGGCTACAGGGAGACCCTGTCTCAACCTCCCCTCCACCAAAAAACAAAAACAAAAACAAAGCACCACACTGTAGAAACAGATCACTCTTCAAAGATTACTTTTATCCACACATTTAAAACAATAACACTTTTTAAGCCTTTCTTCTTTTAGAGGAATAGAAAGAAGTCATTGTTTTTAAGATTTAGAAACCTAGCATCTGAAATGGAGTCTGGAGTTTGAAAAAGCTGTCATGCTCTAGAAGCTGCATAATATGCTTTTCACACTGGGCAGACTCTGTTCCCCTAAATAGCAGAGAAATTATGAATATGAAATACAAAGAGAAGAGATAACAATTTTTTTTAGTGATTAGGGATTTTATGCTAAAATTTTCACAGACGTGCTCTATAAAAATTGAGTATAGGCTAAGTTTCTTCAAAGACAACACTTTCCCTTTTAAACACAGTATCAGTCCAGAAATATTTCATCTTTTAGGCTTCAGTTTTGTCATGAATAATTGAAGGAAAAGAAGGAAAATAGATGATATATTTACTTTGCCTCTAGTATTCTATGCCTTCATTTCTGATAAATAGCAATTCATTCCCAAACTCTTGCTCCCTTCCATGGTTAAAAGTTAGAAACTGGTTCCTAATACTTGAAATCACTGGAGTTTCTGCTTAAAGCACTTTAAGAATGATTACTGGGAGGCTTATTAAAGTGCTATTCATAAGCTTGACATGCACATATAAACAGACCAATAAAAACTTTTCAGTTCCAAAACACTAATACTAATGTAAATACTAGTATCCCGTCTAGTTTAAATTGATCTCCCTGAGGATGGAAGAT